CATATCAAACTGTGAGGAATAGGACACCCAGAGGGTCCTATTTATAGACCATGAAGGGGTGTGGACGAAATGGTTGAGGCCAAACCATGCACCATTTCCAAACAATGCACCCTTATGAAAAGGTGTCTATTCACTAATGGTTGAGGCCTTTTTCGTAATTTCTCATTCATCCGATATTGGTTTTCGAAATGCCAAATATACCCTTCAATACATGCAGAGAAATCAAAATTCTCTTTCGGGGGCGTTGCCCCCGACCCCCCTCGAGGGGCGCTGCCCCCTCGACCTTCGCGACCTGACCGGGCAGGTCGATCCCCGTTTGTGCGCCCCGAAGCGGCGAAGTGGCAAACAATTTTGCCTAAACGGATTGAGTCGAGCTTTTGAATATTTGGCCGAATTCGATACGAACTTTAATCAATTTTCAATTCTCAATTTATTTAACCAATATCCAACATTATCATCAAAGTTAATTCTGTATAAACCTGTCAAGCTTCCAAGACCTGTTGGCACCGTCCCTGTTAATTTGTTTTCAGCAAAATCAATCAAGCCAAGCCCGGAAACATTTGATATCGAGACAGGTATCAATCCAGTGAAATTGTTTACACCACCAGCAAATACTTCAAGATTTGGAAAGTTGAAACCGATGTCTGGTGGGAGTTCCTCGTGCAAGCGATTCTGGGTAACAGAGAAGTAACTAATAGTTGATATATTATAAATGGAAGCAGGAATTGTGCCAGAGAAATGATTTCCATAAATCTGAAACATTTCCAACCTCGACAAGTGCCCGATTTCTTGAGGTATACTACCCTGAAAACTGTTGAGAGCAAGCACAATCATGAAAAGAGACGAAAAATTTCCTATCCAGGCAGGGAATCCTCCTGTAAGATAGTTATGTCCCAAAGCAAGAACTGTAAGTTCTGTGCAGTGCGTGAGATTAGAAGGAATATTTCCAGTGAAGGAATTGTATGATAAATTAAGATTTTTCATTCTCAATAATCTTCCAATTTCCTGAGGAATATCACCCTGGAAACTGTTCCTTCTCAGGTATATACCTTCGAGAAATGAAAGATTGCCTAAAGAAGGCGGTAATGAGCCAACCAAATTTAAGGATTTCAGGTTTAGAATTCTAACTCTTCCATTGAAGGTATTGCATGTAATTCCAATCCAGTTGCAATGATGAACCGAATCATTCCAGGACGTCATGATCTGAAATGGATCCTGATTTATTCCATTCTTGAAATCCAACAAAGCTTGTCGATCAGTTTCGTTTCCCATTGTGGGCATTGACGAAGAAGTTTGTAGGATTACAATAATGTAAAGAATAGGGATTCTGGGATGGAAATGTGTCGAAAAATACTCCATTTCTTTTACTGAAGCAGAAGCAGATGAATCACAAAGGTGGAAGCAATGAAATGCTTATGTGAGAGTATGATTTATGTTAATAAAATAAGTAAACCTTAAAATGATCAGCAGAAATAGATGTTCACGAAATATTTCTTTCGATTTAAATTACCGCAAGTGTATGGGTCGTGACAAGTAATAAAGTGGACTTTAGAAGTCCGAGTATCGTCCCACAGAGAAAGAGTAGTTCAATTTTATTTATTTTAGCCTTAACCGAAACTAATTGACTTAAGATGAATTTTAAAATTAAAAGCCCTAATTTTGGGAGAAATCCCCAAATTGAAGAACCATAATTTCAAATTAATCCCTAATTACTCAAATTCACTTAACGAATGACTCAATTACGAAATGTTATGAAAATAAATGAAATGTATTGTCAATTTATGAAAATCTATGTAAAACAAATGCACTAGGATCACGAATCCCCAAATAATTATTAAGTAAACCCTAATTTCACAATTTTGATAATCCAATGAGAATTTGACAAATCAATGCTCCTAAATCTATTCAATACTCTCTCTCGAGATGTATTGAACCTATTCTCATAAATCACCCGCCTGTATTTCTATGACGGATGCAATTATACAAGAACGCATGTATTTTTTTTGTGAGCAATTAAAGATTTACATAGGGCATAAGGGTATATTTCTATCCTCTATTGGACCCTATTATTAATTATATATGTCGAGTTTAATCCAATTTTCTCAAACTCAGAATTAAACCACCAAATTCATACAAATTAAGTGCACATTAATTGTGGAAACAAATAAATCAATATAATTCATTCAAATAATCCCATCGAACTATGAATTCAAAGTCATGAAATAACAGGTTTAATAGTAATTACATGGTTCATCGATCGCCTAGTTACAGAAATCTAGCCTATCATGATAAAAATAACAAAATCTTTCAAGTTTTGAATAAAATACATCACCGGGTTATCAAAACTTGAAGAAATCTTGTAAATCTTCGCGTCAGTCCTTGTTCTTGCCTTCAAATCCTCTCCAAAATGAATATTTTTGCCTTCCAATTCGTTCCCCTCGGCTTTTGGACGTTTTTTTTGCTATTTAAACCCGTCGAAATTAGGTTACCAAAGGAGTTGCAATCATATAAGGAAACTGCAAAAATCGGACACAGATTATACCTATGCGACCTCATAGGCATAACCTATGCAACCGCATATGACACGACCCGTCCCGATCACCCCAATGGATCCGACACGTGTTGTGCGCCGATGGTAGATACCAGCGAAGTGCCGGACCCACCACCAAAGCGAACTTGACATGCTTTGACTGTTATAATTTTATAAAAATTTCGATAGGGTTTCCTCTGAAAAATGGACTAAAACCACCTGAAAATAAAATCAAAAATCCCAAACATATACACATACTTTAAAATAGGGTACATCCGCCCATCAAAATACCAATTCTTCAAGTAGTTGTACTGAAAAAGAAATTTACCCTTTTTTTTTACCACCAAACCACTTCATTTCAAAACATACACAAAATATGCAATGGGTATGAGACTTAATACATTTTTGACACAAAATACATTAATCCCCAAAATATATGTTGTACAAATTAACAAAATGAGACATACAAACAATGACACGATGAAGCTCAACTCGTCGAACGGCAGGCTCTGATATGGCTCAACGCAGCTTCCATCTGATAAGAAATGAGGTGACAAAAATATGAGCTTGTGACTCAGTGAGTGGATATTTGTAAAAGTATACTTTAACATTTATAACACCTTTCTGAACACTAGTAGATAGTAAAAATTTCCTTTCACAATATGTTAACTAAAATCTTCATTCTTTCAACTGAATCAACTAAATACTGTAAAATTTATTTCTAAAATCTGATAAGCTATGTAATACTGAAACATCACACCAAAAATGTACCCTGAATAACCATACTCGTGTATCGATTAATCTCGATATACATAGCAAGGTCATTAAATTCTGAAATTCTGGTCATACGCACGCAGAGCTATAAAATGGTCATACACTATGGAAACACATTCACAATAGTGCAGAGCGGGTAAAATCACTATATTGATCATACGCTGTGGAAACACATTTTGCACTAGCGCAGAGTGGGTAAAATAACCATATGAAGTCATACACTGTGGAAACACATTCACACCAGTGCAGACGAGGTAAAATCTCATGGGTACTTTCTGGTGGTTTTTAAAAATAACTTGAAATATTCTGAAATACGTAATATCGATAAAACATGCTAATGAAATGATTTAACTGAACTGAATCAAACTTTAAAAAAAACATCTTATTGTAAATCAAATTTATTCTGAAAATCATGCTATCAAATCAACTGTATGAAATAATAGATTTTCTGATTTAATATAAATTGAATAAATACTTATTGCTGTAAAATTTATTTTCATCCACTCACCCAATACAAGCTACAGACTAGGTCGGTCGATAAGCTTTGCCAATTTCTTTGTCACCACCTGTAATACGTAACAAAATGACTAATCAACTACTATTAAATTAAGAAACTTTAAGATCTACTTCTATAATACTTAACTAAAATTGGTCGATGCTCGAATGAATTTTCCAAATATTCTTTTGATCAATGGAGCTAGTCTCACTTTCTAATCTCTTTTCTAATAACTAATTCATCAACAAAACCTTCTTCCCAAGTTAAAACTAATTTTACTTTCCAATTTAATGAAACTAGTGACCATAATTTCCATCCATCTAATATACATTTGCTCCATAAAATCAACTCCCAAGTGAAATATTCCATTTATATAATCACTTCCACAATTAATTAATTAAAATCCCCAAAATCGGATTCTAGGGTTTCCAAAATTTTCATTGCCTAAACACCTTGTTAAAACTGAAACATAATTAATCCCTAAGCTTGAGCTCCAAATCGTACATATATCACATAAATTTAACATTTTATTATTACATGATAAAACCCTAAAAATTTTAATATAAACCATACTTAATCACCTAAAACAAATGGAAAATTTCAACCCAAACTTGAAGATATCAACCTTACCTTTTTTTTTCCCTCTTCTTTATCTCTTTTTTCTTCTTCTTTTTCTCTTCTTTTTCTTTCCTTCTTGGCCGGTTCTGCTTCTTCCCGTTTTTAGTGCGTGTGTGTGTGAAATTGGGTGAAAATTTGGTCAAATGGTTGAATATATTGTCCAAAACCCAAAATTTGCATAATAAGTCCCTTAACTTCACTTTTTAGTAACATTTAATCCTTTAACTTCCAAAAGTATATATATAAATTCCAAACTTTTAAATATATCCAATTCAACCTTCATATTTTTCCAATTGCAAAATAAACCCAAATAAAATGATTTGGTCAATCAAGTCCCAATAAAAATGATTTATTTCATACAAGTCCTCATTGGACTTGACTTTGAAAATTCCACTATTGACTTTGACTAGATAAAAATGTGGGTTGTAACAGCATAGGTATATGGATTTTGGCATTTTTAATCCCTGGAGGGTTACTCGCGACCGCATAGCTTTTCTACTATGCGACCGTATAGTAGAGTGAACTTCCAAATTGAGTCATTTTGATCCTCAAGTTTCATTCCTTCACTCCTTGACCTTCTCTCTTGTTTCTAGTTGCTCCAATGTTCCATTATAACTTCTAATTTGTGCTTAACTTGATCAATTGCTTGATGTGTTCATCGGATCAACTTTCATATAATTGCAATTTGGTCCCTGAATTTTCATTTTGCTCCAATTTGGTCCTTTTCGGCTCTTTTCTTCTGAATTCCACTATTTCCATAGAATCACCTACATTGCATGAATTCAACAAAATTAAGTCACAATTCAATCATTTTACTTGTATTTAAGTCATGTTTGTGATGTAAATAAGTGTGCAAAAATACACTTATCAAACCCCCTAAACTTACGGCTCTTTTCTCCTGAATTCCACTATTTTCATAGAATCACCTACATTGCATGAATTCAACAAAATTAAGTCACAATTCAATCATTTTACTTGTATTTAAGTCATGTTCGTGATGTAAATAAGTGTGCAAAAACACACTTATCAAACCCTCCAAACTTGAACTATTGTTTGTCCTTAAACAAGATAGTGATATAATTCTGAACAAACATGACTTAACACCTTGCCTTGACTCAGGATTGGACTAAGTAATTGATTTATGAAAATTTATCAGTGCAAAATGAGATCAACCTTTACCTGTTAAGTGCATACTTGACGTGTGTGTGTGGATTCATGCTAACATATCAAGTTCAAGATGAGTTTGAGTCCCAGTCCCAAGTGGTCAAATGTCTCCTTACTCGCTCGAGAGATACACAACCCCCCCCCCCAAACTTATTCTTTTCATTCAATTATCCCGAGATTGTGTTTTAAAAATTATGACTTTCCCTGGCTATAGTTCTCACCCTCTTGTAATTTGGATTAATCTCACTATCACAAGTTCACATGTCAACAAGTGAAGGCTCTGCTAGTTTTTATTGCTTCGACACTCAAGATTAAACTAGGTTACTTGCCTCGCCTCAAAGGTATAGTTTCTTCCACCAAATGTCCAAGGGCTTTTCTTCTTGTTATTGTCTCTTTTTGTTTTTCTCACTTTTCTCTGGTTTTCTAGGTTTTTTTTTATTTTTTTATTATCATCTTCTCATTTGCTTTCTATATAACCCATGTAACGAGCTTTAGGTCGGTGACTCCCAAACCAGTTGGCTTTAGGGCACCAGGTTTTAAACGCTTGCAGGCTTATTCACCCGAGTTATAAAGGCTCGATCATATGACTTTTTATTAACCTCTTTACCTCTTGCTTTCTATATTACCCATGTATCGAGTTTTGGGCCGATGACTCTCAGATCAGTTGACCTTAGGGCACCAGATTTTGAAATATCCTTACAGGCTTACTTGCTCGAGTCATAAAGGCATGAAAAGAAGTGTCTTATTCTCACAAATTAAGTTTATGCCCTTATTTTTCTAGACATCTGGTATCCAAAACCAACCCTCAATTTAAGATTTTCACCTACTCTTCATCCCACTGGTCTAGGCAATCCACACAATAATTCATGCACGGAGCCTCACTTATCTCAATGTTCTCCTATAATAGCTCAACTATCACCAAACTGTCTTAAGGTAGTTTACGAGTTAATTCAATAGAGGGTTATAATTATTTTCCTACTTTATGCTCAAAACCCCAATCACTTACCTAACATGTAAAGCATGAATGGCGTGCATAAAGAATGTCAAGTATTACATCAGCAAGTATTAGTTGGCCTAATTAACACCGACTCCAAAGTTTTGAAATATACCAATCCAATAGTAACATCATAGCCGGCAAGACGATTAAGCTCACACAAGCATACATAAGCATAATCAATATTCACTCACAAGCATGCATCATGTAACAATTAGTCAAATTAAATCTGGATTGTAGAAATGCAATTAATTACATGCCGAATGTCTTCAAATTATGCCACCATCCCCCAAACTTATACAAGACATTGTCCTCAATGCGAAAATTAAAGTTTAGATGGCAGAATTTAAAGAAAATGAGTACAAATGAGGCAAACAATACTCCCCTGATCAATATGGAGGCTGCGATGGGAAGCTAGAACCTGCAGTACCATCAGCTGGAGGTGGAGGTAGGCGTGCCAAGACCTCTCTCATCAGTGCTGACTGCTGTGTCATTTCATCATGGATTCTCTCAACACGTGTTTCCAAACGGCCCAGACGCTCCCAAGTTTCATTTACCCTCATCTGGATGCCACCCACCCTACCTACATACACATTGAGTCGACCGTTCACAGTTTCCATCTCCCTCCTAGCTGCCTGGGCATCCTGGCGAGCAGCACGTGACATATCAGTGGAAATGCGGATGTCACGGTGGGCTGTATGCATCTCAGTCGTCAAAGTCCCCATAGCCTGCTGGAGACTCTGTACGTCTCGACTGGTTCCCGTGGTAGTGGTGAAAATCTGGCGCCACAACTGTGCATTTATCTCAACCTGTGGTGGTGGAGCTTGAGGCATCTATTGTTCTGTGTGCTCGTGACCTTGCTCTTCCTACTGTCTGCACCGTTCAATTTCTTACTTTTTCCAGTGCTTTATCCTGGCTCTGTCTTGAGCCTCCAAGGTACTGCGCTTTATGATGGGGCTGGGTTTGGCAGCCACTTTCCCGGATGCAATATTTATACCAGCAGCTATGCATATTCCGGAGATGAGGCTTGGAAAGATCATTGAGCTGTGCCTGCTCCCAAGGTACTCACATGATGGATCTGATTATAGTAGAGAGTGGCAAGATCAACCTTATTACCTCACACCAAGTGATAAAGGAATCCAGCTGTGGGATCTGTGAATGTGGTCCTGTGAGAGGTCGGCTCAATGTTGTGGCACATAAACAGCCACAGGATGGCTATAGATGGCGTCAGCTCAATCTGGTGCCACTCGGTAGTGGGGAGTGGCCATGCATTTTGTCGCCCCAATGAGATCTCCGCCACTTCATGCCAATTGAAATCACCTGGGATAGGGGTTATGTTGTCCCACGTGAGCTGGTAGTAGTCTTGAATAACCTCGGGTGAGAATGTGATCCATTTTCCCCTGACCCACATCTGATGCAGGTGGTCGGACCCTAGTGTGTCAATTTCTGTATTGAAGTTGGCGTAAAATTCCCCTACCAACAATTCATAAATCCGATGTGGCTGCTCCAATACTTTACCCCATCCACAGTTATGCACCAAAGTGGTCAGCTCGAAATCAGGAAAGTCTTCCAATTTAACAGCCAGCTCTGGTGTCACTGTTCATCAACTCACTATATTTTCATATCGGGCTACTGCCTCGGAAGTAAAAAATCTCTGTATCCCTCCTTCAAGCACTCGAGTATGTGCTGTGCCGGATGATGAGCCAACCTTTTCTTTCCTTTTTGAAGTTCGTTTTGGTGGCATCCTGTAAAGTTGGAAAATAGCTAGCATTAAACATCTTGTTGTACAACGAGAAATCGCATTAAATGAAAAGCATGTAGTTCACAAATCCCCCAAACTTGTTTCAATATGCATGTATACTACCACGATGTGTAATGAACAACGTATGATGATTAGAATAGTATAAATGTATAGCCCATACGAAAACTAAGAAAAATTTGGGTGAACATGCTCATAGTGAAAGGGTTGGAGTCATGATTGAGTGTACACCTTCGGCCCCGGGCACCATCGAGAATTATCAAGATTGTCCCAGGCAACCTTTAGGCATATGAAAGTATGCAATGAGGTCTAGCACATACCCAAATTTCAGCTCAATCGGAGTTCGTTTGGTGTGTCAAATGGTAGTGTAAAATAAGGGACGTGAGCTGCTGTTACATGCAATGACTTAGCTATTTTGTGTGCATGTGTGTTGATGTTGTCTAAGTCACATTGGTTGGTAATACATCACAACGAGTTATTCCATTCATCTAATAGTCATATGCCGTGCTAGATGTTCAGAATTGTATTAGATTACCAAAATGAACATTTTATCGAACAAGTTGTGGGCATTATGAAATCTTCATACATTTGCCAAAAATTACTATGTCACATGGCTCCCCATTTAAAAATCAATTACCAATCTCATACACATTCATCAATCAAATAAAGTCAATGCAACAGGTACCAAAATGCCCACAAATTATCAATGTGGCAATGTATCAAACACTTAGCATGCATTCTTTAGAAGTCCATATAAAACCCAATACTTCAAAATTCGAATTAACCCATAACACAATTGAATTTCAAATAGTACACTCCATCCACCATCTACGCCCCAATCACCTCAAAAACAAATTGAAAATGACCTAAACAAACTAAGCATGATGAAGAAGATTGTCAAAAGTCATACCTTCAAGACGATGTGCTTGAAATGGATGCTTGCCTTGATGAATTTATGCCGAGGTGATTATGAATTTCGTGGGTTTATGTGTGAGATGGGGGTCCCTAGCTGCTCGTGTTCGTGAATTTGGGGGGGGGGGGAGAGAGAGAATGAAGAGTGAATCAGTCATGGCTTTAACCATGGCCGATCCACTTCTATGCGGCCGTTTTTTTTTCAAAAGAAATAAAATAAAACAATGCTTCTTTCCCCAAAAATCCGATTTTTGTCCAAAATTTTTTTTTCAAAAAGAAATAAAATAAAATAAAACAATGCTTCTTTCCCCAAAAAATTCGATTTTTGTCCAAATTTTTTTTTGATAAATGACCCGGCTCTCAACGCCCCCAATTTTTCAAAGACATGCTTTTAAAACATTGACATGTGAAATTTAGAAGACATAATTTGCCTCGAAATGCGTGAATTCCACACTCAACTACCCAAACAACTCAAATCAACCCGAACTCGTGTGTGATACTTAAGGACTCGTGTGAACGGTGCTTGGACTCTTTTAACATGCCTAGATGACCGATGACTACATAACAAAATACTAATTGAATTTGAAAATAAACTTCCTAATCTAATGCAGAAAGCATAATAAAGTAAATAAATAGATAAAAAAGGATACAGTGGGTTGCCTCCCACCCAGCGCTAAGTTATAGTTGATAGCTCGACTTTTCTGCGGCTGCTTCATTCTGGCGTCTCGAGTTGAACGGTTGACTTTCGATTAGAGAAGTCACCGCCCCATTAGTGTTTCAACCTTTGGCCATTAACAGTGAAGGTACCCTTATTCTCATGGCTCACTTGTATAGCCCCATATGGTAGGACTTTTGTAATTGTGTAGGGACCCGACCACCGTGATCGTAGTTTTCCTGGGAATAGCTTGAGTCTCGAGTTATACAGTAGTACTTGCTGCCCCACTTCGAATACTCACCTCTAAATGTACATATCATGCCACTTCTTGGTTCGCTCCTTGTAAAGTTTTGTATTTTTATAAGCCTCCATTCTAAATTCATCCAACTCATTCAGTTGCAGTAGACGCTTTTCACCGGCGGCATTCAGGTCCATATTTAACTGTTTCATAGCCCAATATGCCCGGTACTCCATTTCTAATGGCAGATGGCATGCTTTCCCAAAAACTAGGCGATATGGAGACATGCCTATCGGTGTCTTGAATGCTGTTCTGTAAGCCCACAATGCATCGTCTAGCTTTTTAGACCGGTCTTTTCTAGATGAGTTCACTGTGACTTCGAGTATCCTTTTCAATTGACGATTAGATACTTCAACTTGCCCGCTAGTTTGTGGATGATATGGGATAGGGACACGGTGTTTAACACCATATTTATTTAACAGCTGCTCAAACTGGCGATTACAGAAGTGTTTACCCCCGTCACTGATTATAGCTCGCGGTGTGCCATATCGAGTGAAAATATATTTCTTCAGAAACCTAATTACTGCCTTTGAGTCATTTGTTGGCAGTGCAACTGCTTCCACCCATTTTGATACATAATCCACTGCTACCAAAATATACTGATTTGAGAATGAAGGGAGGAAAGGTCCCATGAAGTCAAAACATTGTAGGCCAGTAGAAACCTGATTGTAGAATCTTTGCAGCTATTTTTGAAGCTCCAAAGTGTCCTGCATATGCGGATGAGTGACAGTGCTCGAGAATCTCATGTACTTCTTCTTCAGGTACGCATCTCCTCACTATCTAATCAGCTCCTCGCCTATAGAGAATTGGATCCTCCGAGAAATAGTATTTTAACTCGGCAAAAAAAAAATTTCTTTGGTGACTGGAGCAGTCAGGTGGTGGAATGGAACTGGCCAAGTAATTGACAATATCTGCGTACCAAGGTGCTTCATCCACTCTCAACATCTGTTCATCCGGGAAGATCTCATTTATATCCACTAAATCTTCCGTCTCCCCAGGTTCTAGTCGGGATAGGTGATCTGCTACTACGTTCTCGGTGCCCTTCTTATCGCGTATCTCAATATCAAATTCTTGCAACAACAGCACCCAACGAATTAATCTCGGCTTTGCATCCTTCTTTGTGAGTAGATACTTTAATGTAGCATGATCAGTATAGACGATGACTTTAGACCCGACGAGATATGACCTGAATTTGTCGAATGCAAATACCACAGCCAATAGCTCCTTTTCAGTGGTTGCATAATTTATTTGTGCATCATTTAGAGTTCTGCTTGCATAGTAGATCACATGAAAAATATTGTTCCTCCGTTGTCCCAATACTGCACCTACAGCGTGATCACTTGCATCACACATCAATTCAAAAGGCAATTCCCAGTCTGGTGCTACAATTACTAATGCTGTCGTAAGCTTTTCCTTTAAAGTATTGAAGGCTGTGAGACAATCCTCATTGAACTCAAAGGTTACATCTTTCATTAGCAAAGCACAAAGGTTTAGTGATTTTCGAAAATCTTTTATAAACCTCCGGTAGAACCCAGTGTGCCCCAAAAAACTGCGAACTCCTTTAACTAATGTAGGCGATGGTAATTTCTCAATCACTTGAATTTTTGCCTTGTCTACCTCAATTTCTTTTGTCGATATCCTATGCCCAAGTACAATGCCTTCCTGCACCATAAAGTGGCATTTTTCCCAATTTAAAACCAGGTTAGTCTCCTTGCATCTCTGTAAGACCAAATTCAAGTGGTTTAGACATTCATCAAATGAAGATTCAAATACTGAGAAGTCGTCCATGAAAACCTCGATAAACCTTTCAATCATATCAGAGAATATTGCCATCATACACCTCTGAAATGTGGCTGGAGTGTTGCAAAGATCAAAAGGCATCCTACGATAAGCAAAAGTACCGTAGGGGCAAGTGAAAGTGGTCTTCTCATGATCCTCTAGTGCGACAGGTATCTGATTATAGCCCGAGTATCCATCAAGAAAGCAGTAGTGTGAATATCCAGCCAACCTCTCTAACATCTGATCAATGAATGGGAATGGGAAGTGATCCTTTCGTGTAGCTGTATTGAGTTTGCGATAGTCAATGCAAACTCTCCAACCCGTAACTGTTCTGGTGGGAATTAGTTCATTTTTCTCATTTTTCACCACTGTGATTCCCCCTTTTTTGGTACCACTTGAACAGGGCTGATCCATGCACTATCCGAAATTGGGTAGATAATTCCTGCATCCAATAACTTCATTATCTCTGTCCTGACCACTTCCTTCATGTTTGGGTTCAATCTTTTTGACTTTCTATGCTAGGCTTGCAATTTTCCTCCATTAAAATTTTATGCATACACAGGGAAGGACTGATTCCTTTAATGTCAGCTATTGTCCAACCAATCGCCGTCTTGTTCTCTCTAAGTATCTTGAGCAGTTTTTCCTCCTCCATCTCACTGACTGTGTTTGAAATGATTACTAGAAGTGTATCTGACTCTCCTAAATAAGCATATCTGAGATGTGGCGGTAGTTGTTTGAGTTCTAAAACTGGCGGCTGCTGAATGGAAGGTAGTGGCTTTTTATTTCCTGTCCCTAGTTTCTCGAAGTGTTTTGTTCGGGCGTATGGCGGGTTTGTCTCCAAAAATCTTGCACATGTTTCAACTTCAAAAGAATTCGACTGAACTGATTGGGATTGTGCAATGCATGTCTCATAGGTGTCAGATGGGCCGTGAAGTAGGAATGTTTCCTGAACTGCTTTATTAATAATGTCAACTTGGTAACAGCTGTCTGATTCTGCTGGCATTTTCATGGCTTTAAATACATTGAAAGACACCTGCTCCTCGCCCAATCTCAAAATCAACTGCCCCCTTTGAACATCAATGAGTGCTCTTCCTGTTGCCAGGAATGGTCTGCCAAGTATCAATGGGATGTCCTTATCTTCTTCCATGTCCAAAATGAGAAAGTCCGCTGGGAATATGAACTTTTTGACCTTGATGAGTACATCTTCAATTATCCCTCTGGGGTGTGTCAGTGATCTATCTGCTAGCTGAAGTGTCACAGTAGTGGCTTTAGTTTCCCCCAAGCCAAGTTTCCTAAAAACAGACAGAGGCATTAAATTAATACTTGCACCAAGGTCACATAATGCTTTATCGAAATAAAATTCACCAATAGTGCAAGGAACAGTAAAACTCCCTGAATCTTTCAGTTTTGGTGGGAGCTTATTTTGGATTCTGGCACTACATTCCTCTGTAAGCATTACTGTCTCATGGTCCTCCAGCTTGCATTTATTTGAGATAATATCCTTAAGAAACTTCGCGTGGCTAGGCATCTGGAATAGTGCATCTGCTAGCGGGATGTTAATATGGAGATTTTTGAAGACTTCTAGGAATTTTTTATATTGTTGCTCCATCTTTTGCTTCTTCAACCGCTGTGGAAAGGGAATCAGAGGCCCGTACGGGTTAACTGTGCTCTTGGCCTTATCCTTTGATTTTTCTAAATCTTCCCTTGGAGTTGATTCCTTTACAGCAATCTCATTTTCAGCAGGGGGGACGTCTCTACAGCCGCACTTGGTCTCTTTACATGGATTTCAGGTAATTGCACTCCATTTCGAGTTGTAATAGCTTTAGCTTGTTCCTTAGGGTTGATCTCTGTATTACTTGGCAAGTTACCAGGCGTTCTGCCAGTTAATGCAATGGCTAATTGCCCCATCTGAGTTTCCAAATTTTTGATGGCTGCATTTTGATTTTGAAGTCTGGCTATCATATCCTCCAGTTGAGGCCTCTTCTCTTGTTGTTGAAATTGTCCCTGTGGCTTGTTCTGATTTTGGTCGCTCCAAGAGAAGTTGGGATGCTTCTTCCAACTGGGATTGAAAGTCTCCCCATATTGATTTTGTTGCTGGCGTTGTCCCCATTGTGCATAGTCTGCTTGCTCAATTCCTTGCATTAGTATAGGGCATTCTGATGTCTTATGTTCAGCTCCACATTCTTCACAATTGTTCTTCTTAACTTGTGATATGCTTTCCACCTTGTGGTATAGAGAATCTATTTTTGCTAATATTGCTGAATAAGCATCCACTTCGTAGACACCTGGAGTTTTCCTTGGGATCGCCCTCTCAGAAGACCACATGGCTGATGTGGTAGTCATTCTCTCAAATAATTCCAATGCCCCATCAACTGTTCGTGTGGATATTGAGTCATCTGATGCTGAATCCACCATGCTCTTGTGATAAGGAAATAGTCCTGTGTAGAAGAATCGGATTTGGGTCTTTTTGTCAAACCCGTGTTGAGGGCACTTCCGAAGCATGTTTTTAAACCGGTTCCAAGCTTCGTCAAATGATTCGGTTTCTCCTTGACTGAACACTGATATGTCATGTCTCAGCTTCGCTATCTTGGCTGGGGAGAAAAACTTTGTGCAAAATTTATGTGCCAACTCATTCCATGTAGTGATATTTGCGACCGGAAGTGAATCCAACCATTCAAGTGCTCTGTCTCGTAAAGTATGTGGAAACAGCCTCAATCTAATAGCGTCGTCCGAAATTCCTTGGTATCTGAAATGTTGACACATATCCAAAAAGCGAGATACGTGTGTGTGTGGGTTCTCCTCAGCCTTGCCATAAAATTGGTGTCCATTCTGAAACAGCTGTATCACATTGGTCTTCAACTAAAAATTAGGTTGCCCAAACGGTGGATACACTATGCTGGACTGGCTTTGAATCACTTGAGGAGTCAAGAAACCCCCCAGAATCTCATTCCCCTCGTCCATTACCTCTCCTTCGTTAGCATGAATCATGGGATTGTTTACTTCATTGGCCATTTGTACTGGTGCTTCGCGGTGGTTTCTTTGTTGTCGGTGAAAGGTACGCTCGATTTCAGGATCAGCTGGAATCAATTCTCCTCCAGGCAATCGTGACATGCAAATCTGATAAATAAACCAGAGCGAGCACTGAGGTTCTAACAATTTAAATAACTAAAACAAAAATAAAAGATAATGACCTAAAATAAAAATAAAAACAAAATTATACTAGCAAATAAAAAAAATGAATTTCGAATTAGTGCCTCTCGAAATAAAATTAAACTAAACTCAATCCCCGACAACGGCGCCAAAAACTTGTTCACGAAATATTTCTTTCGATTTAAATTACCGCAAGTGTACGGGTCGTGACAAGTAATAAAGTGGACTTTAGAAGTCCCAGTATCGTCCCACAGAGAAAGTTTAGTTCAATTTTATTTATTTTAGCCTTAACCGAAACTAATTAACTTAAGATGAATTTTAGAATTAAAAGCCCTAATTTTGGGAGAAATCCCTAAATTGAAGAACCCTAATTTCAAATTAAACCCTAATTACTCAAATTCACTTAACGAATGACTCAATTACGAAATGTTATGAAAATAAATGAAATGTATTGTCAATTTATGAAAATCTAAGTAAAACAAATGCACTAGGATCACGAATCCCCAAATAATTATTAAGTAAACCCTAATTTCACAATTTTGATAATCCAATGAGAATTGGACAAATCAATGCTCCTAAATCTATTCAATAATCTCTCTCGAGATGTATTGAACCTATTTTCATAAATCACTAGCTTATATTTTTATGACGGATGCAATTATACAAGAACGCATGTATTTTTTTGTGAGCAATTAAAGATTTACATAGGGCATAGGGGTATATTTCTATCCCCTATCGGACCCTATGATGAATTATATATGTCAAGTTTAATCCAATTTTCTCAAATTCAGAATTAAACCACCAAATTCACACAAACTAAGTGCACATTAATTGTGCAAACAAATAAATCAATATAATTCATTCAAATAATCCCATCGAACTATGAATTCAAAGTCATGAAATAACAGGTTGAATAATAATTACATGGTTCATCGATCACCTAGTTACAGAAATCTAGCCTATCATGATAAAAATAACGAAATCTATCAAGTTTTAAATAAAATATATCACCGGGTTATCAAAATTTGAAGAAATCTTGTAAATTTTCGCGTCAATCCTTGTTCTTGCCTTCAAATCCTCTCCAAAATGAATATTTTTACCTCCCAATTCGTTCCCCTCAGCTTCTGGACATTTTTTGCTATTTAAACCCGTCGAAATTAGGTTACCAAAGGAGTTGCAGTCATATAAGGAAACTGCAAAAATCGGGCACAGATTATACCTATGCGACCGCATAGGCATAACCTATGCGACCGCATAGGTATATGGATTTTGGCATTTTTAATCCCTGGAGGGTTACTCGCGACCGCATAGCTTTTCTACTATGCGACCGCATAGTAGAGTGAACTTCCAAATTGAGTCATTTTGATCCTCAAGTTTCATTCCTTCACTCCTTGACCTCCTCTCTTGTTTCTAGTTGCTCCAATGTTCCATTATAACTTCCAATTGGTGCTTAGCTTGATCAATTGCTTGATGTATTCATCGGATCAACTTTCAGATAATTGCAATTTGGTCCCTGAATTTTCATTTTGCTCCAATTTGGTCCTTTTTCGGCTCTTTTCTCCTGAATTCCACTATTTCCATAGAATCACCTACATTGCATGAATTCAACAAAATTAAGTCACAATTCAATCATTTTACTTGTATTTAAGTCATGTTTGTGATGTAAATAAGTGTGCAAAAATACACTTATCAAACCCCCCAAACTTACGGCTCTTTTTTCCTGAATTTCACTATTTCCATAGAATCACCTACATTGCATGAATTCAACAAAATTAAGTCACAATTCAATCATTTTACTTGTATTTAAGTCATGTTCGTGATGTAAATAAGTGTGCCAAAACACACTTATCAATAGAATTTCAATTAAATAATTTTATATTCCCACTAAGAACAAATCAATAAAAATGACAATACTGGGCAATATTTCAAGATATTTTAGTCTGTATCATTAATGACCTAAAGTGAAACGATTGGGATATGTGTTGCAAGTCTAAATGCATTTAAGAAATCTACCAATAAGATCGGTTGTTTACATGTTCGCTCGAAGACCGTATATTGATCATTTGCATTTAAGAAATGTACCGATAAGATCGGTTGTTAATGTGTTCGCTTGAAGACCATATATTGATCATTTGAAAATTTACTAGGGCACGGGATCGTGGTTAAGTAATATAATGATGAATACAGGATTGAATCCAATAGAACTATGTGCTTGACCAAGTTAAAATTCATAGCAACTTTAATCTAATAGCAAACAAGTTGTGATTTTTCTATACTAATCTTTAAATTATCAATTAAACTAGTGAAAATAAGTACTTTTATGTTCATAATATTTTGAAATGTTGCCATATTTAGACTTTAGGCATATGTTTATTTTCAACTCTCTAAAATATTTCGTTGACTAGTACGCTTTTCTTATTTCTGGGGTAACTAAGTATCCAATGCGAGACTTTCCTAGTATAAACTAGGTCATTTTTTCGGTGGGGAAAAATTAGTCAAACAGTATTCTTACTTTTAAAATTCTAAATCTACTATTATTTCTTTTTTATTCAATACGTTTGTCAGGAGTTGGTGGAGACCATCCATCATCAATGCATGATAATATCTCAAAATTTACTGACACGTTCATTGCCGATTGTGGCTGTGATGACGGTATAATAATGAATGTTACCAATGATGAAGATTATGATGGTGAATGTTACATGTGGTGATGGTGATGGTGTCGGTGTCGGTGAAAATTGACGACAAAATATGTTCAACGCTATTACAAGTGGGTGGTGGTGATGGTGTGAAAATGTGTGTGAAACACTGTGTTACAAAAGGTATTTTTAAGAATAATTCTGGAGAAAAAAAGGGCTCAAAACTGAATTGTGAATTAGTATTGTTCTTAGTGTTATTTGTAATAGGGAAAAAATCACATGTAATCAAGTAAATAAAAACAATTCAATTGGCATCCTTTTTTAAACGATTTAAATGTCAGATCCAAATTATTTAAATGGCGGTATCGTGCTTTTGTTCTGTTCTATTCATTTTGATTTGACAACTTCCATTTTCGTATTGTTTATAGGTGGTAATGATGTCTATATTATCAGATGTTGAAGGCATCGACATTGCAGGACTCATAGCATTAAAGTTATCCCCCATAAAGCAAACATTCATGTTATACCACCAACGCGAAGTTAACACACACCTCAAATAACACACAAAATGATGCTACATATCTATCTTACCCCTATTCCCTCCTTTTTGCAATAGAGGTCTTCAATACATTTTTGTCCTAGAACTCTTTATTTCAGTTGTCCTATCTATTTACAGTTTGATGTTGTACTCTTGACTGTTGGCATGGATCTATATGCATGATTCCTAATCTGGTTTGTTCCATGTTCCAGTCTTTCCAATCCAAGAATGGGAGAGCTTATCTCTTCAATAAGGTGTCACTGTTATTTGCTTTTCATTATTCATGGTTAAGTTCCCATGTTCCGGTCTTTCCACTTCAAGCATGGGAGAGCTCATCTCTTCGATAAGGTGCAAATGTTCTTTGCTTTTCAATTTTCATGGTTAAATTCCTTGGAATTACTATACTAGAGGGCATTGTCGTGACTGTCTTGGTGACATGGAATCCAATAAATGCATGAAGGCTTGGACATTAACATCAAATTTCCTTACATATAAGACTTGATGTTTAAAATCATGTTATCTATAATGATCCCATTTTATTGCAAATGGAGTACTGAACTTTTTGACATTTTTGTTGAGGATTTTGTTGATCATTTAGGGAGTAGCAGTAGATGGTCCCATTAGCCTTATTATTTTTGGCAATGTTAATTTTCTTCGCCCATTTGTGACAACAAGGACATTACCTAAGCCTTTTCCCAATAATTTAAGGTCGACTATATTAATTTTTATTATGCCACTCTGTTTAGTTCAATCATAGGTCTACACAAACATAAAATCAACTAGATCTTTAGCAAGTATTACATGTCATGTTATTTTTGGTCTGCACCTCTAAATTCTAATATGTTCTACTGAGATTGCATCACTCTTATGAACAGGAGCCTCATTTAATCAAGGCTCTTTGCAAACATTGAAGTCGTCTTTCTCGTAATGTATCTCATTTGGGACCACCCCCAACTTGTTAATGTATATTTTCCTTTCTTGTCTTATATATAATAATG